TACATTGACACTTAATGGTTCTTGCCTTCACAGTTGCCTGGGAAATTTCACTGTGCCTCTCTGACCTATCACCAGTCTTTTTCTTTTTCTTTTTCTTTACCCTTCTCTCTGCCCCACAAGTCCATTCTGCTGTTCCATCTAGTGAGACTAGCCTAGGCCTGGCCAGGACCAATTTGGAGCAGGGCATGCTGGTACAAGTTGTTCCTGCTGTTTCCTCCCCTTCAGTTCTGTGCCCAGTCATGGGGTCCACATGTGACTTTCCATGGGGGTGTCCACTTGTACAGGTCTAGCCTCTGGTAACCAGGGGGGCAAAGGTGCCAGAAAATCAAAGAGAAAAAGAGTAGAAAAGGAAAAAAATTGCACGTTTTTCTCTGAGTCACAGGTAGGCTTCTGCAACGGGAATGTTTCTTGTCTCTCAGTCTGCTCACACTCATTTAAAATGGCTGTGGCGGGTCACATTGGGTCCCCCAAATCACAAGCCACCTCCTTTCTTGTTTCTGTTAAACTCTCTTTCCCCATAAGCACTGGATTCACTTATTTATCCCTTTTATCTGAAGCTCAGGATTTCAAGACCATCCCGTGAATCTCTTTTGCCCAGTTTTCCATATCTTGACTGCAGAAGGTCTGCCCAGCTTTTCACCTAGTCTACTGTCATACCTCACCTCCTCTCTGTGTACTCTTCATCTCTGAACTATAGTTGTTACAATTCTTGTCTCAGACCTCAATGCCTATGAAAAAGCCATTCTCGTCCCTCTTCCTGGCTAACTCTAGCTCTTTCCTCCTTTCTTCCTGGTTAACTCTAGCTTGTCCATTAAACCTGTACTACCTTCTCTGGGATAGCTTTCCTGAAAGATTTGGGCTAGACATACATGGAACAGAAGAGGAGGAGAAAGGGATGGAATCAGGGAAGATGGTTTAGGTTTTTGTTCTTTACCTCTTTCTCAGGATTGTAACTGTATACACAAACATTTCTTCCTCCTTCTTTCTGATTGTCCCACCCCCTTCTTCCTCTTAATAGATCCAGAGAAGAGAAGAGGGAAGGATGTGGACACATCACTCAAAGACACATTTGAACAACACAAGGATTGGGGTCCTCATTCTAAAGTGGAAGGTTGGTACCTGACTTCATCCCCAAACAGCTCCCATGGTGCATGCTGATGAGGAGCACTGAGCCCAGGGTTGGGCATGGTCTATCTGTTGTTTAGTGACAACCTACTAGGTCTGAAGGCAAGAATGGCAGGTATTCAGTACAGATGATATATGAAGGTTTCTTCCAAAGACGTCCCACTGAGTTTGACCTGTCCTGTCAGAGGTTCACTATACCTAAAAGAGAACATGGAAACAGACAAGAAGAGAATACTAATGACAAGTAGTAAATTCAAGAAGTGGTGAGGTTTTGTAAAGGCAGTCTACAAAATCATCACTTGGACCCAATTCTGGAGCATCTAAAGTTAGGGGTACTCCTTAAGGCCCAACCAGCCGGGATAAAAGAAATGTGGCCCTAGATGTGTAAGGAATCTTTATTTAAATGCTAGTTCCAGCTGAAACTAAACAGGCTCACCAAGAGTTTATAAAACACACCAAATAGCAAATTCATACAAGCTCATGAGGGGAGAAAAGACATTTTTTTGGAGTGTGTCATTAATTTTGGATATCCACCTCAGGTAGGGCAGCTGCTCACTCTCTCAGCTTCCCAGCTCTGCTGACAGAATGTATGGCTGTGTGGGCTGTGGGCCTGATTCACGCAGTCATTTTGTTGCAGTGTGGGGGAAGGCCTCCTAGCATAGGAACCCTCATCAACCCTTCTTCCTACTGGGACTGCATAGCTCTGTATCTAGGTTAGTAACTATGGAAACCACTTCCTATTGTGACTTGGCCCTTTAAAACCCAGGGAGACGCTGAGCTCTTACAAACAGCACCTAAGAACCAGAAGGAACATTTTTGGTCATCATGAGACATCAAAAGGAAATGGAATTTTGGAACTTGAGTTGAGTTCTTAAAACTTAAGAATGAATGCTTTGCATCTGCTGAATGATTGCCACAAATTGAAAGCTTTTCCCGAAGCAAGGCATCTAGCTGACTGGGAAGTCACCCAGGGCCCTGGAGAAAGCCCCTAAGGCCATGGTGCTCTCTACCCTATAACATTGAATTGAGGTTAAATCTCAGAATATCAGGGGAAATCATTGCTTTTGAGTAGGTCTTAGTAACTTTGTTGTTGGGTTTTAAATGGGATGAACTGTTTAAGAAGAATTTTCATAACATTTCTCGATTTCTGCTTTAAGTGAAACTTCAGCTATAAGAATAGGAATGTTACTGACTTAATTAAGCATTATGATATTTTTTTCAACCCCAGTATTTAAAGTAATGACTGTACACCTTATTTGAAAGTATTTTCATCCTGTTTTTGTGCCGCCCACCCACCTTTCTTTTTTGAAGAATTGCCAGTGAGAGAAGTAGAAGAGCAAATCAGAACAAAAGAAACTGATCAACCGTCCAGTGGGGCGGAACCTCGACAACAACCAAGTGCCTTGTTCGCCAGAGAAAATAAGAAAACAGCCCAAAGTCCTCCAAGATCATCAAGTAAAATAAGAGAAAACAAGCATCCCTTTGCTCTTTATGGCTGGGGAGAAAAGCAGACAGACACAGGAAGCCAAAAAACTCACAATGTCTGTGCTTCTGCCGCGGTGCATGAGGTGGGCCTGTGCTTGTTTGCCTTTCTGACTTTCCTTTGGGAGGATTAGATTACAGCCTGATGACTGAGTTTGATATCCCAAGGCATGGGGAGCTTTGGGGGTAGTGATGATGGGAAACTGGGTCAGGAAAGCCCAGAACTGGGAATCCGATAAACAAACCACAGGATTCTAAATGGTGGTTACCTCTCAGGCAAAGGGGTCTTGGCTTGGAGTTAGTTGGCACCTGGGTTTATTGACAAAGTGGATGAGTCAGGATCCATGAGTTTCTGTGTGGCTAGGAGGAGCGTGTGGTAAGAGGTAGTGGACTTGTGCCTGGCCTCTGGAGAGGTATCTGTTTCCTTTGACTCTGACATAACCTAGTATTTTCCTGACTCCTTTGTTACTGGTTTGCCGGTTAGATGAATTTTGTAGTTCTATATATTTCCCATTAAATGTCTTGTGTTTTTCTGATTCAATTTACATGGTATATTTTCTCCTGCTCCTCCATAACAATAACAAGACTTTTTATTCCTAATCGCGTTAGTTCTTCTACCTTAGTCTTGCTGTTGCCCCATGTTGAGTCCTGAAGACATTTTAGCTGAGAGGATCCTCGTGTATATGGTCAGAAAAACAAGGATCTATGTTAGCATTGATACAAAAGTCCTCAAGTAAAGAATGCATTCAAAGTAGCAGAAAGAGAAACTGAAAACTGTTTGAATTCTGATTAAATACTACAATGAAAATTCTACTGAACAGAAGGTTTTTGAATCCTAGCAGATGGTGTTATTTTGAGTGATATTTGAGACAACAAAGCTGTAGTTTAACAAAAGATCTCTGACAGTTTCATGGGAATAATTTTATCTGTATCTATCTGAAGTATCAAATGTCTTCAGTGGTAAAATCCCTTTAGAATCTTTTTGCCTTTTTTATTTTTCAGTATTCTGCTTTAAAACATTTTAAGTTCTGTAATGGAATACTTAATCCATGCTTAATGTTAAGCAGTTCCAACAGTTTTCCAGAGTCAATTTCTAGAAGCACATGAAAATTAATTAGCTACCTGCAATCTACATCTTAAGGCGCTCTGGTAGCACAGTGGTTATGAATTGGGC